GGCTGCGGTGGCCGGGAGCGGCCACTGCACTCCAGTCTGGGCGACAGAGAGACTCCAACTAAAAAGAAAGATAAAAAATAAAAAGACATGGTAGAAGAAAAGTGTTAAGAATGAAAAGATATGAGTATTCACATTAAAATAGACTGTCAGGAGCTTCTGAACAGCTAAACACATGGAGGTTCCTGAGGGTGGCTTGCCTGGAGAGGCCATGAAAGTCCCATGTCCCTTCCCAAATACTTTGCCCCACGTAGTATCTCTTTTATCTGGCATTTATCACAAAAGTTTGCTGACCACTGAATTATAGGGACATTGATGTACTGGACGAAATTTGAGGAGCAGGGTCGTGGCTTCTATTGTCTTCTTTCCAGGCCTCTGTTTCCAGATATCTCATTTAAGCAGCACATGCTGGACAGAGCAAAGTGGCGGAGTACGACTCTTCCACAATCATCTTCCCACAAAAACATCAAATTGAACACCTCTCCATGCGTGGAATTACCTTTGCAAGAGCTAAGAAAACCTGAACACATGAGCAAAACTATGAAACCCTCGTGGACTGCAAAGATGTAAAACTGTACTTGGATGGTAAGGGTATTGGTTCTTTGTGACAGTAATGCCTCTCCTGCCCGAAGCCATTACAGTGCTACTTGTAGGAAGTCTCCCTGGACTCACGGTTCCTACACTGAAAAAAGGTGAGTCGGAGGCAGACGTTTGGCTTCCCCACCATCCTCGGTCCCTTCACAGGAGACTCGCTCTTGCATCACCTTGTGGGAAGCAATGCAAATATCACCTGAGGACTCCCAGGGACAAAAGGGGGTGGGGCTAGTGGCAGCAAGCAAGCAGAACTTGGCCTTCTATCCCTGCCAGAGGAGATGCCGCATCGGAGAGGATGTCTGTGGGCCTCTGCTGTGGGATACATCATTCACAGCTCTCCCACATGGCCTGAATGCCCTCTGTCGGTCTTCCATGAGCTCATCCGTGTCGGGCGCTGCAGAACCATCATGAGACTTGTGTCTAACCTGGGCCTAGGGCGCCCTCTAGTGGTGAAATGAAATACAACCGCCAGTCCCTCCATTTCGAAATAAGCCTACTGAAACAGACCACTCCATCAAGACTGTAAAGACATAAATACCTAATTCTTCAATGCCCATACAGAGTTGCAAGTCTACAAAGAATAAGAATAACTTAGAAAAGACGGCCTCGCCAAATGAACAAAACAAGGTGCCAGTGACTGATTCTCAAGATGGAAACTGCAATATAAGACCTCTGCAGCAGAACTGATCAGGCAGAAGAATCAGCGAGCTCGAGGAAAGGCTATTTAAAAATAGAGTCAGGAGAGGTGTCAAGATGGCTGGCTAGATGCTTCTGGTACTCGCTCTTCCATGGAATGGAACCAAAATAGTGAATAGATAATCACACTTTGAATAGATCATCTAAGAGGGAACACTGGAATTCAAAAAAGAAGTGACAGAAAGCAAGGAAGTGCCGGGCTCGGTGGCTCAGCCTGTCATCCCGCGCCTTTGGGAGGCCGAGGTGAGTAGATTGCCTGAGCCCGCGGGTTCGAGACCCGCCTGGACAGCGAGACCTCATCTCTACAATCAATCAAAAAATCAGCCGGGTGTAGTAGCACATGCCTGTAGTTCTGGCTACTTGGAAGGCTGAGGCGGAAGGATCGCCGGAGCCCAGCAGGTCGAGGCTGCGGGGGCTGGGAGCGACCACTGCACTCCAGTCTGGACGACAGAGTGAGACTCCAACTCAAAAAAAAAAAAAAAAAAAAGAAAGCAAGGAAGGACAGGGAAATGCAGCAGCCTGTTTGGATGGCATTGGCTAGCAGTCTGGAGCGACTCCCGAATGTGGAGAAAGGGGATGACAGAAATCTAATGGTCCACATTTCCCCAAGGACTCCTGCAATCCTAGCCATAGGAGAACCTCTTGACCCTTGAGGGCCCTGAGATGAACACAGGGAGATACTTGGAGACGACGTGAAGGCATTGCACCAGAGAAATGCTCACATTGGATGACATAAGCTCTTGGTGTTGTAAGTAGCACAGCCCTCATCAGTCTGCATCTGGCCCTGCCCCCACGGCTGAGGTGGGAGCCCTGAGCAGTGATTCTGGCTGCCCACAACTGCTCCCAGAAGAAACAATCTGGCCCTAACCAGAGCCAGCACCTCACACATCACCAAGGGGCCTGAGGGCAGGTCCACCTGAGCTGGTTCTACCTGTCCTGTGTACCTGAGCATACTGTCTAGGAGCCTGGGGATTGCTACTACCGCTACAGCTGCCACCCACCCACATGCACCACTGGTGGCCTGGGGACTACCCACCCAAACCATAGCAGCTACCACCATCACCAGCACAGATCACTTGGGATTCAGAGGGTTGTCTCGCCACTGCTACTTCCATCACCCACACCACACCCACTCACCCAACCCACCACTATCATTCGCAGCCCCTAAGCAAACCACTTTGACACCCACAGATTAACCTACCTGGACCCGCTAACACCAGTGCAAACATACACCACGGTGGTACTCAAGGACAGGCACACTCAGCCCACTGCTGCCACCACTGGGGCCCGAAGACTGGCCCACCTGGCATCCCAGTCTCCAGCAAAGCTTCACCACAGGCTCTACTAATTTCATTGTAAGCCACCAAATAATTTTAAAAAATGGAAGATGTGATTGTTATACTAGATATGCAGATGTCAATGTAAGGATGCAGAAAACAAAAAATCAGGGAAATGTGACACCTCCAAAGGAACACAATAATTGTGTAGCAACAGATCCCAATCAAAAAGAAATTTAAGGCTAGATGTGGTGGCTGATGCCTGTAATCTCAGCACTTCAGGAGGCCGAAGCAGGATGCTCTCTTGAACCCAGGAGTTTGAGACCAGCCTGGGCAACATAGAGAGACTCTGTCTCTACAAAAAAAAAAAAAAATTAACTGGGTGTGGTGGCATGTGCCTGTAGTCCTAGTGACTTGGGAAACTGAGACAGAATATTTGCCTGAGCCCAGAAGGTCCAGGCTGCGCTGAGTCATGATCATGCCACTGCACTCAAACCTGGACAGGAGTCAGACCTCAATTCAAAAATAAGCAGATAAATAAATAAATTTGCTCTAGTATTTTCTTTTTTTTTTTGAGCTGGAGTCTCACTCTGTCGCCCAGACTGGAGTGCAGTGGCTGCTCCCGGCCACTGCAGCCTCGACCTGCTGGGCTCT